TGGGCGGTTGGCTGGCACGCTGACACGCGGGACCCATGGGGGATAAAACTGAGACGCGCTTAACTGCTACGTGGGAAGCACGCGCGCCTTGAGAGTTGGGCGTCCTGGTGACGCGCGAGGCGTGAGACAACAGAAAGAAACGCGCGTGAATTCCTGCGCTGAGTGGTGGGGTCCACGGGCTGATGTTGGCTCGGCTAAGCTACTCAGCTCTCTCTCTCTCTGATCAGCTTGTGCGGCTCGGCTGAGAGCTTGGCTCCGAGTGGTTTGAAAACATGGCTTCATGGCTTATTCTTGTGTAGTTTTTTATGCTGCTTTCATCTGTAAATAATTAAGCAAAAACTAGAAAAATTCCAATTAAAATATTATGAATAAAAATAATGAAATTGCTTAATTAGAGCTTAAATATTTAATATTATATAAATCAAAAGTAGTATTTATGGTGCATTTTCATGCACCAATCACAACCCCCAACCATCTTATTGCTAGTCTCTAGCAATCCAAGCGCAAGAGAAATCATGTCACAAAGAAAATTTACGTCTCAACTCGCTTAGTCATCTGAGTATTTCAAACAAACTGCTAGTAAGAAGTCAAAAGATACTATGAAGATTATTTCAGTCATAACTCCAGAGTCGTGTGTGTGTGGTCCGAACCATAACCTTCTTACCACTGACCATAACACATGCATCTTTGAAAAATTCACCAAGTAGAAATCTCAACTCCATTGATCTCACAGGTGTCAGGAATATTTGAGTGCAAAGGTTTTCTCTCATGGAGTTGGAAATGAAACAATCAACGCTCTGTGTGAGGAATGTCAAATTTAGGACAAACAATCAACGCTTTGTGACAATTTTTGTTGTGTAACGGCGCCCATCAACCGATAGATGTATTCTCTCTTTGCACTCTACAACCGCCACGGGAACGGCAACATCTTTTGGTGTCGTAACGGGGCCCATCATCCGTCATATCGAAGCTCTCTCCCCCCTCTACAACCGCCACGAATTTAGCGACAACTTTTTGTGTCGTAACGGGGCCGGCCCATCAGAGGTTATATCGAAG